CATATTTGCACTTGCAACAAGCAACTGTTGTCATATACAAGAATCTTCCCTACCCCCAGTCTCTGCTCATCCCAATAAAATAAAAAGTTTATGTGGACATCCAAAAACATATCTTCCATTGTAATCCGGAAAAAAAAAGAGTGAAAAAAGTGAAGTCAGAAGACAAGTAACAGGAAAAAGCACATTGTTTTTGACGTGACAAATACTTTTGTTGCCTTCAGGTATCTCAATGGTAAATGAATAGCAAGCTTTTGTGACAGAAAATAAAACAAATCAGTTTTATCGTGAGGGAGCACAAACTTGAAATGTGTTAAAACAAATGAAGTTTAAGGCTTAATACAGACTGGTTTTTCTAGACTTTGTACCCTTGCGCAGCACAATTAATTATACAACTCCAGCTCAGCCAAAGCCTAATGGATGGCAGAACAAAAGCAGTGAAAGCTGCAAGCTAAAGTAATGGTGCTGATGTACCTTTTGTCACCAACTTTGACAAAGGAGGCAAATAGCTTAACTGACCGGGAGTACCTTCCTCATTCAAATAACGATGCAGGTCTGAACAAGCACCGTCTAACTAAAAATTGTATATGAGTTAAAATTACACTATATTTCCTTAAACTGCACAGGCGCTTACTGGAATTGTATATGATTCTCTCCCTCAAGAACACATCCCATGTTGAAAAATCCAAAAAAAAAAAATTGTCTAAGATACGTCAATATATTGATAATTGTAAAAGGCAGTATATTATGCTTCGGAAGGTAGTACTTCCACAAGGTTTCCCGGCGCCGGGGGGGGGGGTGGTGGGGGAGGTTGAATAGAACCATCAAGAACCGCCTTCATCAAAACAAGCTACAGAACCGCAAAATCAAGAACCTCAACGAAAAAGAACAAATCAAACAAAAGAAATAATCCCACAGAAGTTACCCATCCATACATGTTTGTACCTTATGCACTCGGGGTTGTACTTTATCCAAATATTTTACTATGTATTTTACCATAAAAGATACTGAAAACAAGGTTGTTCATTGCGAATAAAGAGTTGTACCTCGGATAACTTCGGCTTTGTTTCTAACGTCCACATGGAAATATGAAGCCCGACCGGAGGCGAGAGCCTGGGAGAGAGGCGAGTCATCGTCCAACTCATCGAGTTGGATTGAGGAATCTGAATCGGCGACTCGGACGATCCAATTGTCGAGTTTCAACAGCCTCGTCACCAACGATCTTCCTATCAACCCTCGGCCACCCAATACTACACAAGTTTTCAAATCTTCACCATTGTTAACATTATTGTTGGCATCATCGTTCATCGCCATTTTAAGTTTTCTTCTCTTTTTTTCTTCACTTTTCTTCTACTTTCTTTTCTGGGGGAAACAATGGGGAAAAGTAGGGAGGAAATGGGTGCGACTGGGCGGTTGGCGTGGCGGAGAAAAGAAGGAAGACAAAAGGGGTTTTACTTTTCACCTGATTAGGTGGTAACAGGTAATGTGTTATGTAAGCGGTGGGTCCAACAAATACGGTTGGTGAACTGTGTCTTCTACAAGGATAAGGCCTGTTTACAGGTCACATCCGAGCAGAGAAGATTCAGATGTCATCAAATCAGTGCTTAAGGCATCCCTAATATGTGTGTAATTAACCCTTTTTTTTTTCTCTAGCAAGGATGGAATGAAATTTGAGCAGAGGTTCTACAAACTCTAATTCTTGGGGCCATGTGAATAATTAATTTAAAATATATTTACTAAATTATCTATTTATAAAGTTTTTTCTAGGTAAATAATTAGTATTCCAAAAAAAATTCTAGACGCTCCACTATTCTTTTTTACTTAATGAAATAATACAAAACCTACAAAATATTCTAGGAGACAAAATTTCCCCTTATATATTTACAAGTAACTTTCTCTACTTCATCTCTTGAATTCACTTAGTTTTACATACTTTAAAATTAGTCTTAAATTGTTTTACAACTAATGATGGAGAAAATTCTTAATGGCAATGATCAATTTTTTAGTAGGACTTGAGAAACGCACTGGATTTTTTGTTTTGGATTTGTCTATTACTTTTGAACGTGTTCATTATTTTTCGGGTTAATTACATTTTGCACTCTCGAATTATCACCATATTGCAGTGTGCACCCCGAAGTTTTAATTATAGCAATCTAGTGCCTTCAACTATTCATCTTTTGCAGATCACCACATGAAAACCAATTTCTGGCAAATTCAACCAGAATCATCCAACCCAAAAATAATGAAAAGACATTTTGAACCCTTGGTTTATTTTTGTCCCAAAAATGCCCTTCTTTATCTGGTAATCATTCCTGCTCAAATATCAAAATCCTATGTTCATCCTTAATCCATCTTCCCAAATTAACGTAGAACTCTCCTCATCTTGCAACAATTACATCTAAAGATGCGGCTGCTTTGTGTTTCATCAAATAATAATTTATGCATCATTAATGATGGTACAAATTATCACAATATAGTGATGGGAGTTTCCAGCAAGCCTCCTAAAATTCTCAAAATCAATTTTATCTTGCAAGACAAGATTGTTGTCATCCGATGGTTTGCAAGAAGTGGTACTATGATCGTTGATCATGGAACGATATTTGTTACCTTTATATGCAATGAAGATACCCTCCAAATTCTGTCAATGTTATACAAGTGAATCCAAATTCTCGTTATTTTATCCTATAAACTTAAAGTGAATCCATTAAATATCATGCATCAGTGCGTTAAGTCTAAGATGCTAAATAGTTAAGATAACTAGTCTATGACACTTATCTAGGTTCAGTATAGAAGAAAAAACGTTGTGATAGATTTCAAGGAACTCTTTACAATTCAAGTTTAGCTACAAAAATCATGACCAACCATTGAGTAGAATGTCTTGGTTATAAAAGCAATCAAGAAATTACACATCTAAACTTTTGAGAAATTGGCTACCAGGGAGAACCATGTGTTTATACTCTGAAATTTTGCCATCTGTCCATATCATTCATTATATTTTTCTCAATGTAGCGAATTGTGATGCATTCAATTAACATTCTCTATTGTAGGTTGGAATGTACATTATTGAATTAATTCTAAAAGACAGTACAGGAATATCCTACATCTGTAGTTCATCTAACAATTGTCTACTATATAGATTAACTAGGACCTTGGACCATCTGGTAATGCCTAGACCTATCATATTTGGCGAATGATGGCTGATTTAAATTCATAGTTATCTCATCTTTACTGTCATTTTCTCGAATTTTCTGTGAAGATCTCTCTCTTGGCATTCAACCCAATCCTTGGATCCTATTTCATACTGTTCGATGCTATGTCCTTTTATGCAATCATGTAAGTTGCTGTCAAGAGCGATTGAAGTGTTAGAGAAGTGTTTGCATATCATTTCGAGTGATTAGTCAAATTATTGCATCATCTTGTTTATTTGGAAGAGTTATTGCAGCATATCTTGCTACTACTAATTCTTGGAAAGGAAGCACGCCACATTCTCCTCCTGGCATCCTCTTTTTTGTTCTAAAAATGTCTATATGAGACTTGAACAGTTCTTAAACACTTCCAGCTTATAGATCCTAAGTTGATCATTTCTCAGTGAATTTTCCCACAGGCTTTTCATTCTACAATTAACAGAGGACTAAATGCTGTAAGAGAGAACCTGTCAAGGCACCATAAGCCATCCAAACATAGCAAAATTATTCAAATCAATCATTATTTATAGCAATCCAATAGCTAAATACTAAATCAAAAGCATACTAATCCATCATTTTTGTAGCAATAAAACTAGCAAAGTAGACAACATAAATAGGGATCGTAAGTTCCCACACAAAATCGAAGTTCTAAACAAAAACCAACAAATTGTAACTACAAAAAATCTTTAGAATTGTCAATGAAAATACTTAGAAAGTAGCGTGTTTTGAGTTGGATTGAGATGGTCCCTTGTAGGAAGGTGTAATGTTACTGGATACTTGACTAGAACTTGTTCCAACTTCAATTCTTTGTCCTGAATTGCCACTAGAAACTAGAGTTTGCCTGAACATTGCTCCCCCAAACCTTGTTTGCCTTATAATGACCTGTATAGTTCAAATGAATGTAAATTAAAATAAAAAATGATATCATTTTTGTATTGACCTTTAACATGATATATTTAAGTAACCAAACACATATATTTGAAGTTGGTTGAGGAGGTTGAAATAGTTGGATTGGGTGAGGGTACATTGAAGTTGTAGAGTTGGACTGATTCACCTAGTTGGGACCTTGAGTTGCAACATTTTGGGTTGGTTGTAAGGTGCTTGGCTGACTTAGACAAGCAAGAGTATTTTGGTTGGTTTTTTGATTTCTAGGTCTTGAATAATTCTTTCCTATACCATATAAGCTTTCTCTTTTCCTACTTATAAGGGATTCACCAGTGAATGACAATCTATCAGGACCAAGAAGATTGCCTCTCCCACTTATTCTTCCCCTTCCTCTTCAAACACCCCTACCTCTATTTACTCCTATAGTTGCACCTCTACCTCTAGCATAGGTGACAGGAATGTCAATTATTGTATCTCTTGTTTCTATGATTTTTCTTATGCGAGACGCGGAAGCTACTTGTTGATGATTTGACGGAGTTGAACCCAAACTTGGACCACTCAAGAACGAATTCAACGGTAGAGGACGCCACAATCAAGTGTGATCGCTTGATTGATAAGTCAATAAACAACCTAGAATCAACTCTAGAATGTTCAAACTAGCTTTCACAAGCTAAAGGAATTTGCCACAATTAATGGACGAAATTCTGGAATTTTATTGACTAATATCGAAGAACTGAATGTAAACAATGACTTGGGGCTATTTATAGCCTTGTCTAACCCTAATAGAACTTGGGAAATATTAAGGAAATTCAGCCAGCCTATTGGGTCTCTCTTGGCCGAAAGCTAACCTACTAATTAATTAACTTAATGACTAACTAAAGTCCTATTGGACCTAAGGCCCACATGGCCGAAGCCAAGCTCAACAAAAGCTACTTAATCGAGGCCCAATCCTCCCTTTGAAGCTTGATCACTTGCACCTGCAATTGTAAGTAATATCTTGGTAGTCTTGCAAGGATCTTCCATGTTGATTCCTTCAATGGGTGGTTTCTTTTGGGCTTGGACGGCATGAACTAAGGCTTGAAGTGACTCCTTGAATCTCTTAACTCGTGCTCGTGTCACTGGGTCTTGAGGGACCTTCACGAGGTCTACTTGAACACCATGGGCCTCTTGCTCATTCGCATCAATTTGTATCGGCAATAGCTACAAGAGGCTCTAGGAACTAAGTTGAGCTATAGTACAGCATATCATCCTCAAACCAATGGATAATCTGAGAGAACCATTCAAACTCTGGAGGATAAGCTGAGAGCCTGTATAATAGATTTTGGAGGGAGTTGGAACCAATAGCTAACTTTGGTTGAGTTCACATATAACAATAACTATCACTCTTCTATTCAAATGGTCCCATATGAAGCATTGTATGGACGAAGGTGCCGATCACCTATTCATTGGGATGACGTAGGAGAGAGGAAGATCATAAATCAGGCCAAGATACCATGGATTGAGGAAGGCTACGAAAGGGTAAAGGTAATTTGTCAAAGGCTTCAAACGGCCCAAAACCGACAAAATAGCTATGCGGATCATCGGAGGAAGGATTTGGAGTTTGAAATAGGAGATATAAGGTGTTTCTTAGGGTTACCCCATTGAAAGGAAAAATTAAAGCAGGAAAAGGGAAAAAGTTACAACCGAGGTACATAGGACCTTTTAATATACTCCAGTAGATAGGAAAGGTGGCTTATCGACTAGAGTGACCAGCTAGTTTGTCTCGGATCCATGACGTGTTTCATATTTTTTTTGCTTAAGAAATATCATTCAGATCTGACTCACATTTTGCCACCAGAAGATATTGAACTGGACGAGTTTTTGATCTATGAGGAAGGACCCATTCGAGTACTGAATAGGAAGGTGAAGAACTTGAGAAATAAGCAGATTCCACTAGTTAAGCTTCTATGGAGACACCATGAGGTGGAGGAAGCAACATGAGAGTTGGAGAAAGACATGCAAGAGAAGTATCTCGAGTTGTTTACGACTAAAGGTATGAATTTAGATGTCGAAATTCTTTTAAGGGGGAGAGAGTGTGAGAACTTGTAAAATCCCTCATATTTTCTTAAAAATTCCCTTTTTTTTGGAATTTATTCCTTTATAATAGCCTTACTACTCATTCACTCTCTCAATAGTTACAATTAATCATAAAATCAAGGGTTTTTCCTTTACTTTCATCGTTAAGGTAAACTAGGGTTTTTTGCATCTTTTGGTAGAGTGAATAATCGATGTGGAGTGTGTACTCAATTTGGTGATTAAGAGTGAGTTTTAGATAAGAGAAAGTGTGTGATTAGAAGTAATAATAATAAGTTAGTGAATCATAAATTAAAACCCTAGTACGCGCAATTTATGGAAAATCGGTTTGAACCAATGGGTACCATTCGCTACCGATTGAGTGCACCACTTGAACACTACCTTATTACCTTAATTTTCTTACTTTTATTTCAGCAAAGTTAGCCCTAAATATCTCCTCCAAACAGCCAAAATTATTGACTAATAAAAGAGAGGAAAAGAAAAAAAATTTGAGATTGAAACTTGAGGCGACACTTGGCAACCATCCAAGGGTTGTTTGACCAACCAATTTCCTTCATTTTTATCACCAAATTCACTTCATTTCCTCTTAATTTCTGTACATTTTGGCCGAGCTTGAGGAGAGAAGAAACCAAGTGAGAAAACTCCAACTTCCACCTTGAATCATCTTAGTTTGAGAGAAATCACCCAATCCAAACCGATTAAACTTTCATTTTAGTACTTAGGAAGTTTTGTGTGGTAAAAGTTGTGGAAGAAAGGAGTGTGGTTCTCCTCTATAAGCACTTTTTGGAAGGTATCTTGGCTGCCTTTCCTTTTTCTCTTCCTTAATCTTGTTTAAATTTGGACAGAATCTTATATTCTTGGCTTGAGATGGTTAATTTGTTAGTTTGGCATGACATGTTGGATTGTTGAGCTAGGGTTTGAGATTTTCAGTGTGTTTATGGTTGCTTACATAGTACATGATGTGGAGGAGCTTGGATAGGGACTTGAGTAGTGATTCAAGACATGAATGTGATTAGTAAGCATTGAATCATTAAATTTTCAGCTTTAGAGAGGAATCTGTCCTACTTCTGACCTGTTTAATTTGTCCATGTTAGAAGCCGAATCAGGCCTAGGTCAAAACATGACAGTTGTAGGGAATGGAGTTATATAACTGCCTATAAATTTCAGCTCAATCGAAGCACTGTAGCATGTGAAATGATAAAATTACCCCTGACTGCCAAAATACGCTGGCCTGTACAAGTCTCACGCCTCGCTCATACCCCTTGTAAGGAAAACAAAACTAATAGAATGAGCTAAAACTCAGTGAGGTCCCAAATAACAAATTGACCAGTAAGTACAAGTGACAATATCATAATAGTAAAGTAGCGAGCGTTAACAAATCAAGAAAATGAGCAATAACACTTCGGATGACCAAACATTAAATATTCAGCATTTCATGTAAAAAGATACAGTTGCTCTTGTAAACTAGCTCCACCATAGTTTGATCGTATAGTAGTTGACACTCCGTCAACTTTCAAGTAGGATAACTAGTCCAGTAGTACACCACTGAACTCCAATCTCCGTCTACCAACCAAACCCCTTACCGAGCCGGCACTCCAAGATAAACACTGGTGGTAATACTCGAGTATACTGATTAGTCCAGAAGATAACACTCCACTCGACAAAACTCAAGATCCAGGGTTCATTATCGAATCGACCAAACCCTGGCCGGCTCGACTCGATTAACTAGCCACAGGGTTTCTGGAATTCCAGACAAGATACGAATCATATGCATGTACATCAATTCACTTTCAATCAATGAACAAGAATATAGCACATTAGGGCAAGTGCGATAAAGTACACCCTTACCCGATCAAACTAATCATATATCATTCGATCACATTGGTCAAGTATTGAAAACAAGTATCAAGTTCAATCAGGTATTTGGAAGCACTCACCAAAGATTTAGTACTTTTTCAGATCACGTTCAGGTATTACTCCTGGTTTGGAGTCCAAATCTGCGATAAAACATCATTTAAGAGCTTTGAAATCAACTAAGGTTCGAAACTTAAGCGTTTCGTTTAACGAAAACAAGTAATTGAAGCTCATTTGGGGGATATTCGTAAAATTCATGCTCGCTCTTAAAACTTTGAAACTTTGAAGCGATTAAACTTTGAAATCTCCATTTGAGTCGAAGAGACGAGGAAAACGTATTTCTATTAGTCGTTACCTTCATTTTTCCAAGGGTACAAGTTTCGGCCGAACTCTAACTTATATACCTCTACAAAAGAGGACTCGAATAACCTAAATAATTCAAGTTCAATTCAACCTCAACTCTTCGCTTGAACCACAAGTACACACGTCTAGTGCTCGAGTGAAAATTTGGGCGGCATGTCCTTTGTATTTAGCTATTTTCCAGCCATTTATGGCTTTATTGTTTTCCTCAAATCAGCTCCAAAGTCACATACAATCAATGTTACCATAGTAGCCCTTCAACTAGGCTTAATGTCATTCAATTACAAAACAATACTAGTAATGCGACCGGAAACCAAGTTTAAGGACACGTAACAAAATAGCAGGTTTGACGTCTCTTGGCGTTTCGGTCACAAATGAAGCTACACCTATCGGTTTGGGGTACACTTTATACCGTTTCGAATCTAAGACAGAGAACTACAAGTCTTATGAATATATCGACAGCCAATTCATTCATTTTCAAGGTCAAAATGTGCAATCTTAGAGAAAACAGAAAACTGTCCGCGAAACAGTGCATTTGGCAGTCAAGGGTAATTTTATCATTTCACATGCTACAGTGCTCCGATTGAGCTGAAAATTTACAGGCAGCTATATAACTCCATTCCCTACAACTGTCATGTTTTGACCTAGGCCTGATTCGGCCTCTAACATGGACGAATTAAACAGGTCAGAAGCAGGACAGATTCCTCTCTAAAGCTGGAAATTTAATGATTCAATGCTTACTAATCACATTCATGTCTTGAATCACTACCCAAGTCCCAATCCAAGCTCCTCCATATCATGTACTATGTAAACAACAATAAACACACTGAAAATCTCAAACCCTAACTCAACAATCCAACATGTCATGCCAAACTAACAAATTAACCATCTCAAGCCAAGAATATAAGATTCTATCCAAACTTAAACAAGATTAAAGAAGAGAAAAAGGAAAGGCAGCCAAGATACCTTCCAAAAAGTGCTTGTAGAGGAGAACCACACCCCTTCCTTCCACAACTTTTACCACACAAAACAGTGGCGAGCCGGAAAAAAATCTTAGTGGAGGCAAAAATAACACTAAATTTTTTTATCTACTCTTTTTTTAATTTTTTGAGCAAAAAATAAATAAATTCACTAACAAGTACAAATGATATGTATATTCCATGAAAAACATAAAAAGACAAACTCAAAATTATTAATATAATAATAATTTTATTTCAAAAACAAACCAAACTATTTACAATTGTTCACGACGAGTTTTCATATTTTGATAACGGTTTACAACTTTCTCATTTTCAACTTCACGAAGTATATTTTTCTCAATATAAGTAACTAAACAATCATTCATCCAAGTGTCTCCCATTCTATTTCGTAACCGATTCTTCACTATATTCATAACTAAAAAAAACGTTTTCTACTGTAGTTGTAAAAACAGGAAAAATCAAAGCCAACTTTAAGAGCATATAAACCAATGGATACACAATATCTCTCTTAGTCTCCACCAACCTTTGAGCTAGATCAGAGATTTTTCTTAAATCAAGAAATTCCTTAGCTGATTTCAAGTCATTAATATAAGTATCCAATTCAGTGTCAAGTGCAAGAATATCCAACTTAGAAAACTCACAAGGATAATGTTCTGCAAGACGAATCAACTTTTTCTTATCAAATGCTGCAAAGGAATCACTTGGGTTCAAGCATGCCATACACAGAAGCAACTCCATATTGATTTCATTGAAACGATTGTTGAATCCTTGGAGTTGTAAATCTATGACAGCACAAAATAGCTCAACTCGATAGTGGTGAAGGTTTGTAATTTGCTGAACTTTTCTTCGAGATCTCCTACTAGTAATGAACATTTCATCCATTTTCAGAATGATGATCTCATGTTTTTCACAAAACAAACAAACTTCATCAAGTAAAAAATCCCATCCATCTTCCCTAGTAGCTTGTAATTGTTGCTTGGAAACTTTGACCAGACCCATAGCATTCACAATATCTTGATCCTTCCTTTGTAATTCTTCAGATAGTGCATTCGTTATTCCCATGATTTTCTTCATCAAGTGTAAAATAAATGCAAATTCAAAAGATTGCAAAGAATTAAGAAGTGCATATGCTTGACCTCTTTGCTCCACCAGGCCATCATTTTCAATTATCAAAAGAACATCTATTACAGAATCATACGTAAGAACCAACTTAACAACGAGCCAAAATGTGAACCCCAACATGTATCACAAGCTCTTTGAAGGCTAGTTTCTTGATTTAAGCCCCGACCACTCACAAGATCTCCAGTCATTAGATCATCAACGACTTTCTTAAGGCGTTGTTCTCTAAGAATTTCTTGTCTTTTGGATGAACCTTCAAGAACATGCACTAAGGTAGACAATGTATTATACATAGAAGAGACTTGGACATGTTTCTTTGCAACCCCTACAAGTGACAATTGCAGCTGATGTGCAAAACAATGAATATTATATGCAGAACCATTTTCCTTCATGATCAAAGTTTTTAAACCATTATATTCACCTCGCATGTTACTAGCACCATCATAACCTTGACCACGGATTTGTGATATGCTCAAACCATGCTTTGAAAATAAATCATCAATTGCTTTCTTAAGTGAAAGAGAAGTAGTATCTCTTACATGTAGAATACCAAGAAAACGCTCAATCACATATCCATGTGAATCTACGTAACGGATAACAACTACTAATTGCTCCTTTGTTGATGCAACACGAGATTCATCACATAAAATAGCAAACAAGCCATGTCCAATATCATTTACAATAATGCTTGTAGTCTCACTTGCCAAAGCATTTGAAATATCCTTTTGAATATCTGGAGCAATGAGTTTGAGATTTTTAGGGGCATTTTCAAGAACAACCTTTTTTATATCATCATTATGACCCACAAGGAAGTGCAAAAGTTCAAGAAAATTTCCGTGATTTTCAGAGATATCAGATTCATCATGACCACGAAAAGCCAAACCTTGATGTAGGAGATATCTAGCACAATCTATTGAGGCTAATAAACGAGTCTGATACTCAGCCTTCATTTTCTCTGATTGCTTAAAAAATGCCACTTCGATGTGATGATTTTTTTTTTCTCCAAATAAACTTTTTTTTTCCAAAATCAGATCTTTTATTTCAACCAGAAACAAGTACAAGAGACTTAGAGATTCCTAGCTCCTATTGAAGCACTAATCTAAGAGACGGGACTTGAGCGACGTCCATAGCAATGCATCCCCGAACCTCTCTTGGTAGGAGCTGCAGCGAATCAAAAACCTTAGTCGGACAACCTTGCAAAGCAGCCAACCTATCTGCAACCCCATTTGCTTCCCGGAAAATGTGCCGAAACGACACAGCAACCTGATCCAACAGGCGGCGAATCCGCCGTAGCACACTGCAATACAACCAACCTCCCAGTACCGATGATTTAACCAAGGACACAAGCACCGCCGAGTCCACCTCCACTAGAACCCCTCGTAAACCCCTGACCGCACACAATAAAAGCCCTTCTAATACGGCCAAAGCCTCAGCATGCAGCACCCCTTTGTCCCCAAACTCCTTATAGAAAGCAAAGATAACTCTACCCTGTGAGTCCCGTAACACTCCTCCTCCACTAGCCTTCCCGTTGACCACACTCGCATCCGTGTTTAGCTTGTATTGCCGGGACAGAGGCAATGCCCAGGTTACCACCACCGGTCGCCGCTTACGGGCTGTACCTGATGCTAACCGTGCCCACTCACAATCCTGGTCACCCCGAAACTGAACCTTATCCAACCTATTTGCTCTGCCCAGGTCGTGCAAGAAGTTGCCAATCTCCACGATGACCCCCCTTGCTGAAAAAACCTGGCCTTCGAACCGTGCCTTATTTCGTCCCTGCCATATGAACCATGTAACCACAAACGGTAGTACACACCGAATATGATGAGCAGGGACGCGAGTCAACGAAGTAGCCCACATCCTCCAAACAAGTTGAATATCATCCGGAGTGGATTGTAGAATGCCGAACTTATTTGCAAAATGTCCCCAAACCTCACTCGCTATTGGTCCATTAACGAACAGATGTGGCACTGATTCCGCCTCTTGGAGACAGCATGAGCACCTGGATACCACGAGCAGCCCACGTCTTCGCATCACCGAGTCCAAAGGTAGAAAGTTGTTCAACAGCCTCCAAGCAAATATCGAAATTTTTAACGGTGTACCCTTATTCCAAACCCACTGGGCCAAAGGCAATATGGTTCGTCGTTGCCGACACAACTCCCAAGCCGAAGTCAAGGTAAACTGCCCTGTCGCCGATGTCGCCCATAGGATATGATCCTGCCCCTCCAGGTCAAAAGGAATGTCCACTATCAAATCCACCAGATTGGCTGGGAGCCAGTGGAGAAGTCTGCCCCTGTTCCATCCGTCCCTATCTAGGAATTCCGCCACCAAAAAATGGGGTCTGTCCCTCTCCTCCGGAACCACTGCAATTAAAGGGCCCAACTCGCACCACGTATCCAACCAGAAATATACCATTCCCGGGCCGAGACTCCATGAAATCTGCGCCTCCGCCACCTCCCGTATACCCAGCAATCGCTTCCATGTACCAGTCAGTCTTGTTACCGTCGCTTGCAACGGGTGCTGGTCCCCAATATACTTGGAGTACATAAAATCCGACCACGGGGAGCCCCTTTGGTGCAGCCTCCACCACAGTTTATGCGAGAAGGCTTTAACCATGTCCTCCAACGACCTAACCCCTACCCCACCTTCCTCCGTGGGAAAACACAGCCGTTCCCAGGACGCCCAATGCGTTCGTTTGTCTTCCCTGGATTTATCCCATAGGAATGAGTTGAATAATCTTCCTAGGGCAACCAACACTGCCTTGGGGGGTTTAAGCACCTGTAGCAGATAAAGCGGCATGGAGTTCAAGACATGTTTTATAAGAATCAATTTGCCGCCCATGGACAACAACTTCCCGCTCCAGTGGAAGATCCGTGCCCTCACTCTTGCAAGAATCCCATCAAAAGCAATAGATGTACAACGGCCTCTGGAAATGGGGACCCCAAGATAAACCATCGGGAGAAATTGCCTCTGAAAGCCCAGAATACTAGCCACCAGCTCGACCTGCGTCTCCGACACCCTAGAGGAGCACACGAAGCCACTTTTTGCCACATTAATCTTCTGTCCTGAATACTGTTGATATTGCTTAAAGAAGGCATTAATGGCTTCTAATGTCTCCCTTGCAAGCCTGGTAAAAATAATGACGTCATCGGCGAATGCCAGATATGGAACCTTAATCCCGTCCGCCTGGAAAAACCTGTGTCTATCCTGCCAAAACAGGGAATAGAGCCCTTTGCCAAAAAATTCCGCCACTAGTACAAAGAGGCCAGGAGAGATTGGATCACCTTGTCTTACCCCTCTCGTTGACTTGAAGAATCCAGCCGGCTCCCCATTAACTAGCACTGAGAACCAGTTATTGGCTACCAAACGAAAGATCAGATCAACCACAGGTTCTTGGAAGCGAAACGATCTAAGCATGAACAAGAGGAAGGACCACTCCACTCGATCATATGCCTTCTCCATATCAAGCTTCAACAAGAGGTTCGGAACCTCCAAGCGACGGTCCAATTCAGTGGCATGTTCCTGCGCCAGGAGAATGTTATCCACTATTTGTCGGCCCGGAACGAAGCCAGACTGCCAAAGAGAGATCAATTTGGGTAGGAGCAGATTCAGCCTATTAGACACCAATTTAGATATTATCTTAGAGCTTACATTGCATAAGCTGATTGGCCTGAAATCTTGCCACCGAGTAGCCCCCTGAATTTTGGGTATCAACACAATCAATGTACTGGTTATTCCTTTTGGCAGCCACCCCCCTCTAAAAAGATGTGATGATTTTGATTTAATAAACTTTGACATTTACTCCAACTCAGATTGTGTGAACTATTTGGACCACTAACATGAACACAAATCTATCCTTTTTTTTTCCAATTTGTGAATCATTTCTTAATGAAACTATCACCACCAGATTGTTCGCCCACATCTGGTCTATATAGATAACAACATAAGCAATAAGTGGTATCTTTTTCAATACTATATTCTAACCAATTCTTGTAATCATCAAACCAGCCCCGAACAAATCGACGCATCTTTTTTCCTATCTTTCTTTGTGGAAAAACATGCTCATGAAGTTGACATGGTCCCTTTTGTAAGTAATATCTCCGAATTTCATCTTGAAGGTTTGGATGATAATCCCCAATTTTTTTTCTTTGGGCTGGATCCGCAGGTAATTCATCTAAGTTAATTTTCAAGTAACTTCTTTTATTGTCATTTTTTGCACTTTCATTATCCTTGACTTCTTCTTTATCAGATCACTTTTTTTCCATTGATTTCCTCTTGAAATATCTCTCCATAGCTAAAGAAATTAAAATCAATATATAAGATACTAATCCAATTAAAATATTAAATGTATAATAAAATCTAATAATCTATCCAAGAACTATTTGACAAGTTAAAGTTATTTATTAAATCATTAATCACAACATATCATTACTATATCAAATCACAACTTATTTATTCATTACTATATCAAATCATTAATCACAATATATGAATCTAATCAAGTTAATTAGACAAAAGGATCCATACAAGAATAATTTAAAAGTTAAAATATATGTCAAATGGCCCTCTATTCATCATTACATTAACTCCAAATAAGAAACTAATCAAGGAAAATAAAAAATAAATTATAAATCTATAAAATCACCATTTCACAAGTTAAAATATTTATCAAATATCAAATAACCCATTTATTAGTTATTACATTAACTAATCAATTTTCAAATTTCTCTAAAACAGTAATAATCTCATGCTCTAGAAATATATTTGCAAACAAATTTAAAATAATAATAATAAGAAGTAATTGTTTAGAACCTGATTTTGAAGGTCTCCCAAAAATGGTGAAGAGAGTTGCAAATCAGTGGCGGACCCGGGTCCCTTTACTTCCTTTGTGCCCTGTATCACGTTATTTAATTGGAAAGAAGTCAGCTTCAAGGACTGGTTTCTTGCGGTTGAACTGAAGAAATCAGATCCTGGTTTTCAAAAAGCCTACTCCTTTAATAGTTTAATGGAACACTGCTTGAAGAAGTCAACAACACCATTTTCATGACAGGAAAACTAGGATTGGACTATTTGATGGGAGAGACCATTTTCAGTGGAGACAACCAAGAGCCAGAAGAGGAAAGGAAAATTGGGGTATGGGGACAAAGGAAGTAAATGATTAATAATGATTGGATGAAGTAATAAAAAAAAAGAGTAGTTAGTTGGGTGTGGAAAAAGAGGAGTCGTGGGTTGTGAAGTGAAATGAGGGACCACAGGAGTAAAGGGAACTTGGGGAGTGGGGACCAAAAGTAATGACTGATATAATTGATATATGGTCCTTAGAGGAGGAAAGTAAATGATATAAATTTTGTAACCCATTCTTTCATATTTTTTTAAAAAAAAATTCTGGGGGCACCATTAAAATTATGTCAAAATTATAGGAATTTAAGAGGGGGCAGTGGGGGCCCGTGCCCCCCAGCCCCCAGTGCCCCCCCTTAAATCTACCCCTGACACAAAACTTCCTAAGTACTAAAATGAAAGTTTAATTGGTTTGGATTGGGTGATTTCTCTCAAACTAAGATGATTCAAGGTGGAAGTTGGAGTTTTCTCACTTGGTTTCTTCTCTCCTCAAGCTCGGCCAAAATGTGCAGAAATTAAGAGGAAATGGAATGAATTTGGTGATAAAAATGAAGGAAATTGGTTGGTCAAACAACCCTTGGATGGTTGCCAAGTGTCGCCTCAAGCTTCAATTTCAAATTTTTTTTCTTTTCATCTCTTTTATTAGTCAATAATTTCGGTTGTTTGGAGGAGATATTTAGGGTTAATTTTGCTGAAATAAAAGTAAGGAAATTAAGGTAATAAAGTAGTGTTCAAGTGGTGCACTCAATCGGTAGCGAACGGTACCCGTCGATTCAAACCGATTTTCCATAAATCGCGCGTACTAGGGTTTTAACTTATGATTTACTAACTT